GGCCACCCCCCAATCCAATCACCCGCCTTTCGCATTGTCTGAGGCAGAGCAACGCCTCCCCCCCCCTGGCTCTTGCTGAGCACCCCCCCCCCCCCGGCGGTGGCAAAAAAATGAGAAAAGACTCCATCTATTCCTATTACACGGTGGTTTACCAAACTTTGGGAATGATTTGTAATGGATAAAATTTCTGATTCTACTCAAACAAGACATATACCATCTAAATATAGAGAAATACTTACCTGTCTGTTGTGATACTGGAGATTGTCTATGATATTGACATTATTGGTTTGAACCTCAAATGTAAGCGGTACTGTGATTTTAAGAATTGGAGTGAGTTCCACACCCCTGATTTAGTGTGTGTGACTGCAGACCGAGATGGCCAAATGTAACCAAGTGCCTGGCGGTTTGGGGTTCGACTCTCCACTGCCTGGTGTGGTCTCTGCTGATTTAGAATTTTGTTTTATGCACTTGTGCTTCAGCACTGCCTGGTTTATTTGTTTCTGTGACCTTCCGCAGCCATCGGCATCTTTCTGAAGGTTTTGCATCCTCCGTAGGTGTTCCTGTACCATGTGTGCCTGATTCCGTTTGCAGTTGGCTCCCCTAGTGTGATGCGCAGTGATGCCTTCCAACAAGCCACTTAATCCGTATCAGTAACACTTCGGAGTCTCAGAGGGTAGCCGTGTCGGTCTGCAGTGGAACAGCCAGATTCGAATCCAGCAGCACCTTAGAGATCAACAAGGGTTTCGGGGCATGAGCTCCCTTCGTCAGATACGAGTATGAAGCTGCCTTCTACTGAATCGGACCATCAGGGTCTGTATTGTGTCCATTCAGACTGGCAGTGGCCCTCCAAGGCCTCAGGCAGAGGTCTTTCACATCACCTACCGCCAGAACTAAAGCCGCGGTGGCTCGAGTGGTTAAGACGCTGAACTGCAGACCGGAAGGTCGGTAGTTCGGCAGTTCGAGACCCGCGTGCCGCGTGCCGGAGTGAGCTCCCGTCTCTGGTCCCCCCCAGCTCCTGCCAGCCTAGCAGTTCGAAAGCAAGAAATTGCAAGTAGATAAATAGGTACCGCTTCGGTGGAAAGGGAACAGCATCCCCTGTGCCATGATGTCTAGTCATGCCGGCCACATGACCATGGAGACGTCTTTGGACAGCGCTGGGTCTTTGGCTTGGAAACGGAGATGAGCCCCCCCCCCCAGAGTCGGATTCGACTGGCTTTCGAGCAAGGGAAACCTTTACCTTTACTCACTGCCAGAACTAGACATGCTGATGACTGAACTCAGGACTTCCTGCATAGTGAGCAGATGCTCTCCCAATGAACCACAGCAACAGCCCACAGATGCAGTAGAGTCTGCGTCTTTCTACTGACGGTCACCCATTGGAGTGACAGGAACCCATAAGAACAGAGGCCTCCTGCTTGGGGGGGGGCACCAACCACGTGGGACCAGGAAACTAAGAGCCAGTTGGTCTGATCTCTGTCCCAGGGAAGATACAGGAGCACATTTTGAAGGTACTCCCCCTCACTGGCAGTTCTTAAGCAGCGGCTGGACAAACCCTTGTCAGGGATGCTCTAGGCTGATCCTGCACTGAGCAGGGAGGTGGACTAGGCCTATAGAGCCCCTTCCAGCTCTGTGATTCTTCCTTGCAAAGGGGACTTTCTACCTACCAAAGCATGCTGTACCACTCGGCCACAGCCCCTTCTGCAAAAACACCAAACTCCAACCCACTGGCTCGTATTGAAATGTTTATTAAGATTGAACTGGAGAACAATGGATTGAACACAATGTAAATGTGAAATAGTGGTTTTGTTTTGTTTTTTAATCTACATTCAGCCTTTTTTCCTATCCATACATGGAAAAAAATATAATTATACAAACAGACCAAAAAGTGCAGAACAGTTAAACTGTTTCCCATGCAACAAAGTCTTTTTTTACTTAAAAACCAGAAAAAGAGAAAAAAAAATAGCTTCGTGTCGAAATCAACCCCCTCCCCGGCCCACGGCGCCATTGGACTCGCACAGACACATTCATCAGTCAGATTACTCGCCTGTTATCCCTTTTTCCTCGTGAAAACTTAAACATTTATGTGTTTAACACACGCTTATAAACATTGCTAAACTCAGCAAGAGCTAGTAGAGTGCCCCAACTTAATAAGTTGATAAAAAAGGAGTTGTCGTATGGCCAGTTCACAATGGAACTAAAAATATATATATATATTTATACTATTTTTCTTATATTTTTCATTATGAGATGGCTGGATGCAGCTTTTCACCACGTGAGACATGTTTTTCTTTTTAAGACAAAGATCAGCTGGGCCATTTGGCTACCGAGAAAGTGTCACGTCCCTGTTGCAGCTGAAAGGAAAGACCCCGTTTAATTGGATCCACTCCGACGGCTCAAATCACTTTACACCCAGAAGAATATTATGCTTGTATTGATTTTTTTTAAAAACTCCAAACCCTACATTTTGGAACCGAACACTAACTTGGGTGAGGATCAAGGCAGATGGGTCTAAATTCTTGCATCTTTAGGAGAGTTTTTTAGAAAAATTATTTGGAAAGAGAGGTGGGTAGGACGTTTACAGTGTGATGACAGCTCTTATAGGACTGAAGATACATATACTGAGATGCTGAATTTTTCTGGGGAATTGTTTCTCACTGGCAGCCAGTAGGAAAAACGGGTAACTCTAACTAGGGCCTCTGCCTTTCAGAAGAAAAGCCGTGTCGATGTCCAGTCATCTAACTCATCGGGCAAGAAGATCTAATGCAAAAGGGGAAGGAGAAATGAAGGCACGGGGGTCAGTGTCCGGGTAACAAGATGTAGCTATGGCGAGAACCCTTGAGGGATTCCGTCGGGGTTACCCGGTACAAACCTCGAGAGGTTTCAGAGACCATACCAGAGACATTTAGAAGGAACCTCCTTCGCCAGTTGCAGTTTCTTCTGTAGCTACGTGTAACAACAGAGAAAAGCCACACCTGCTGGAAGACCCCTTTTCAAGCACCTCCTAAGGAGTGAATCTAGCTAGCGGCCCCGTGAATCGGGTCTCCACAGATAGATTCTTCATGCAGCTAGCTCCAAGGTCAGCCTGTGGAAATCACAGCCTCGGCAAAGAGCAATTTTTGCAGGCGTTCAGATGTGCAGAAAACATTTATGTTTTTCTTTGTTATTGCAAGCACAAGAATCCCCCCCGTCCCCCCCCCAGCTGCAAAATAGTACACTGGAAGTAGCCCCCTCCTTGCAAATTATTCGGGACACAAGTTAATCAATTTGGGGGACTGTTCCTATTCCCAAAAGTCATCTGACTGTGTGAATTTTAACTGCCGGTATGAATTACCTGTCTCCCCCCCCCCCCCCCGAGGGTTGCCCCCCCCCCCGGGTTTCCCCCCCGACTCTCTCACACGAAGAAAATGGTGGCATGAGAAGTGATCTAGCAGAAAGAACACCTGAAAATTAAAACTTTATTTCTGGGTGCAACACGGAAACACCGAACTCAGCTAGGAGTTTTGTATGCGTGAGAGTGCGCCTTTCTCAATGCTCTTTAATTTGTTTTTTAAAACCCCGTAGCATAGTGTTTTCTTGCAGAAATCATCAATTTAGAACCACCCCAGCTAGATGGGAGATGACCAAAAATATTGGTATCTGCTCCCCCCCCCCAGCACAGTCACCGATTTCCATGTCTGGGCAACACTTGGTGCCCTCTACTTTTATTTGCCCCATTAACAGAAAATAAAAGATAGCTGTAAATTAATGCACAGCGATAATTTCCCCACCCACAAAAGATGCTGCTACATGTACTGTGGGGGAGAATCATGCAGGATTCTTCAGTAGGATGGGGAATGACAGACAAGATCTAGGTAACCTCGCTAGCAGATTGTGGGCGGGTGGTGAAAAACTGTAGTGAAAATGACTTTCTGCTGTACACAATTGACAGCAGCATCCAGCTGGGTAGGGGACTGAGCGTTCCCTTCTTGAATATATATATAAAGCTTTCAGTGACTTAACTACCAGAAAGGTTAACAACTGGAGGATGCTAAACAGCAACACCCCCCCCCCCCCCCGAATTGCAGGAAAAGAAATGCCTGGAAATATTCCAGCGAATTTCGGCTAGCAAAAAATTGCTTCTCAGCAGAAGGACCCCGGAGGGTTGGGCCTCTTGAAAACTGAAATTGAACAAGTCTCCCTCCCTGGCACAAAAGGGAACCTTAAAATGCCTTCTTTAATAAAGGTTGTGGAGGCTACCACGTTGTGGCCACTGCAGCAGACACCCAAGCGAGGGGCGTGGTGCAGTTCTGCCACAAGCGAATGACCTGAACTCTCTGCCCTAGTGCCCTTGGACAGGTCACAGCAGAAAGCCCGAAGGGGGGAGACGGAAAGATGGCATCGCCTCCACCTCAGACACGCCCCTCCCCCAAAAATCTTCCTTCAAATCCAGAACAGGGACTGGTTCGTCCTTAGGAGCTGGCAATGAGGGTAGTACAAAGAAGGTAGAGGCGATTCTCAGCAATGGGACGTCAGCCCCTCTTTGCAGATCCTTTTTCGGGGATCGCCCACCTTTTCCGAGGACTACATTAAAAAGCACTGGGTGGGACACGGAAGAATCAAGCATTCCAGTCTTAATAGTAGTTGCCTGAGCTCCCTCTGCCCAATCCGTCCCCCCAAACCCATCTCCCCTTAAGACTCGAGGAGGACCAAGATTCTGCGTGCCCCGACTGGCAGTCCTGACACTGATGTCTGAATGACAGGACACGTGGGTAAGAGATCGTTGGTAGTTATTAAAAAGACTACTTGGGTAAAATTCCCCATGTGAACCCATAAGAACCCATTTCTAGAAAAAGGTTATTGCTTTTATTCCTCTCCCCAAGATACCCTAAAATGTACAGACATGCCTTAAACATGATGACATCATTAGAGAGCAGGTTTCTGGGAAGGATTACATCCCACCCTTTCATAAGCCATAAAAAACACAAGGGACATCGGCTGAACGACCAGACAGCTAAGGCTAAGAGAAGGATTCAGCACGTCCCACACGAGAAGTCAAGCCTAATGCCAAAGAGGTGGCTGAAGGTAAAGATAGGCTGTATTAAAGAGGGACCCCCTCTCCCCTTCCATTTTAAAAATCAGTCACAGTATCTTCTGTAAAAGGAGAACTCAAGTAGCTAAGTGCATATCTGGTTCAAGCAGCTCAACTGCCAGGGAACCCCGGAAGTTGTAAATTTGCCAGAGCCCTAGGGGCTCTTTATAAGAATCCTAGCTCAATTCAGAACTACGGATCCCAGAATTCCTTGGGAGAGGACGCTAATGCAACTAGGCTGGTTAAGCACACTCAATTGAAATGTGATTCTGGGGAAGAAAACACTCACAGGTGGGGCTTTGCACTTGCTGAACAGTAAAACTGGGGGGTCACGTGTGCCGATCAACTGCCCGGCAGGCACAGTTGTGTTGCAAGTGTAGTCTTGAATGAGATGCTGGGTACGTGCAAATCCCCACAAGAGTGTGCTCTTAAGCATCATTTCAGCCAGGACTGAATCTGAATTGCGGATGTCTATTCGTCTGGCTAAGTCCTGACAGCTGTATTTCCCAGCCCATGAGGGAAGCGCGCAGTTCTCTCAACTCCACAAAGTGAGGACCCTTGTCCTTCAGTTACGCTACAGCTAAAGCTTGAGTATCTCCATTTGAAAACACCCAGCAGGAGAGATCTCAAATGATATTTTAAGGACACGACTTGCAAAGAGTAGAGGATGCATAAAACTATCAACCTCACACAACTCTTTTGAGCACTGCTGATCGCCAGTGTTGATGTTACTCAGACGAAAGATTGCGCATCTCTCTCTTTGAAGATACAGGTGTGACGGGAGAGACATTCTGGTACTCCTAAAACGTCGTGTCAGATTCAGGAAGAGAAATTCTATGAAGAATTTGGTGATGGAACAGCCGAGAGGGCAACGCTAACAATGTACCAACGAGGCTTTTACGCCTCTCTCTAGATTGTGTCTCTTCTCCGGAATCTGAGATACAAGCAAAATCTGGGTAGTATTCTTTTAGCAAGGAAGAGAAACGGGGGGCTTCCAAAAGATGGCGCGTTTCACAGACCGGCGGTCAAACCAAGACGGTGTTTCGGCAACTACTGAAATGTTCAGAAGGTTATAGGACCCCATGGAAGGTCCGGAGCCCGATTCTGACAAATTCTTATCAGCCTACCAAGAGTCAAGTCCCCTGGGCAGTAACAACATTGCCCTCCTAAGGTCAAAATAAGAAAGAGGTGGGAACTCAAGGCAGGCTTGCTGGGCTTTCAACTGGCTTAAGGGATCATCCAACAAGGAGCAGGACAAGTCAGGCTGCAACTAGGCTGGTTAAGCACACTCAATTGAAATGTGATTCTGGGGAAGAAAACACTCACAGGTGGGGCTTTGCACTTGCTGAACAGTAAAACTGGGAGGCTACGTGTGCCGATCAACTGCATGTGTAGTCTTGAATGAGATGCTGGGTACGTGCAAATCCCCACAAGAGTGTGCTCTTAAGCATCATTTCAGCCAGGACTGAATCTGAATTGCGGATGTCTATTCGTCTGGCTAAGTCCTGACAGCTGTATTTCCCAGCCCATGAGGGAAGCGCGCAGTTCTCTCAACTCCACAAAGTGAGGACCCTTGTCCTTCAGTTACGCTACAGCTACAGCTACAGGACAAGTCAGGCTGCTATTTCCAAAAGGAGATGCGCCCCCCCCCCCAAATCAGGGCAGATACGGAAACTTCCTGTAAGACATCGAGAGCTACGATTGGGGACTTTTCAGAACAAGTTACGGTATTACACTCGGGAATATCGTCCATTTAAAAGAGGCGTTGAGTGACCTTTTGGGGAAAACGCCAGCTCTGTGGTGAAACAAGGGATGCCTTGTGATTCAGCGTGGGAAACGCTATTAAATCCTAACAAGAGGCGGCGACAATCAAGCCTCGCCCACTTAATAACAGGATTCGTTCAGTAGTATCTTACCTCTCATTGAGAAACAGAGTTCAAATCAAACGCTCCACAATAATGGGTCGGATCCCGTGGGTCTGTTCCGCGACTGGTGGGGCATTCCCTCAGAATATCATATGTTCTGCTGATGCGCGAGGACTTCTCGTTAGAAGAGGAGGCCACCCTGGCACTGGGGGAATGAGCCACCGTTACCAGAACAGATCCCTGGGATCCACCCTGCCATTCTTTTGAGGGAAAAGTGAAACTCGAGTCTTTCCCTCAAATGTTGAAAAAGCAGTTCTGTAAAAACCCCGAGTAAAAAAGAACTTGTATGAAGTTCCGCTGGCCTACGAAGAGCCTATTCACTCACAATCGAGGGTCAAAAAAAGGGAGAAAAATAATAAGGAACTGGAACCCACAGCCAAGGAACAAGTGGAAGATGCTGTCAGACTATGCGAGGATGCCGGCCAGATGATTATCACTTGAGCCGTGTCATTCGTACAGACTATACCTTTTTAAAAAATACACTGGCAATTCAAGTAATTTATTAAAAACTGCTTTTCATTCTGAAATATATAAATGTATATAGATAGATATTTGCTTTCGAGTGACGATTACTGGCAGCATGGCTCACAACATGCATTTTTAAATGAGCTCGGGACAGCAGAAAGTATCACTGGGGTGGCCTCGATTCGCCGTGTTCAGCTTGCAAACCTCTGGCTTACCTGCTTGGCAGCTGTCAAGGAATGTCCAAGGACTAGCTGCTGCTCAGATGGAGAAAAAACCCCTTGAGGCGACTACTCCTAAGGACATTTGTCAATAGGCGGCTAGGCCCCACTGTGTACCAGGTGTCCTATCCGAGTCCGGCCTACCTACAGTCCCAGCCTGGCCAAAGAGTCCAAATGGGGATTCAAGCAGTACTCTCTCATGCACGTTACTGCTCTCGTCCTGAAACGAGTATTAAATTAAAGCAGCGTGTGGTGGGCGGAGGCAAGGAAAGGGGTCAAAAAGAAAGTGAGGGGAATCGTTCAGCAAGACATACAACCCCCAAGGAAAAGTACAGCATTTTAAGATGTTGGATTCTTTAAGGCCCAAAGCTGTTTCAAGACACATGAAGAAAAGAAAAAAAAGAACTCATAACTACGACTACTTGAGGCTGCAGCGTCAGAGGTAGGCCTTTGGTTTTCGCTCGCTGTAGCAAAGCTACCTTTTGAAACTCCGCCCTCACCATTTCCAGCCTGGAAGTTTAACAAAGTGCAATCCACGACCCCTTCTAAGCCAAAGGGAATCCTCCTGACCCATTTGTAAGTGCTGCTGAACAGGGACCCCTGTTCCCAATGCAGCTCCATCACGAAGGAGATCGTTGGCTTTAAATGCCACAATAAGAAACAAAGAATTAAATCTGACCAGCTCATTGGTCAAAAGGGACACAGCAGGTTCCAGGAGACCACCCGCCACCCAAGGCATGCTAAAACCCCTTGTCACCGCCAAAACCTCCCCCATCTCTAAGACAAATGGATCATACACCTCAGAAACGAGCGAGTGGCAGCTGCTGGAGACAGATGTTCTTGAAAAAAATCTCAGATCAAAATAACGTCAATGACAATTTGATAGCAGTTTGCTCGGCAGCCGCAGCAATCTGTTGAAAAGGAGTCTGAGAAGTAAACAACTGCACTGAATGTAATGAAATCCAGACTGAGGTTTAACGGGAAGAAAACAACTAAAAAGAACTGCATCTTTCAAGCCAATATCACATTGCTAAAATACACCGTTTGATCAAAACAACTGATTTCCCTATTAAAACGTGCAAGTTTTGAAGGGGAGTGAAAGAGCTGGATGGAAACGGAGGAATCCCTGCATAGAAGCTGCAGCAATTGCTTTCGTTTTCAATTTTCATCTTTAAAAAAAAGGGGAAAAAAAGATCACCGAAACACATATTGTAATTTGTCCAAGTGGATAACTGAGCATTTTCAAAAAACTACCATGACGTTTAAAATATATAATAAAACACGCAAGAAGGTAGTTTAACCTGCCAATTGGTTAAAGTTATCTTTGAAACCCAGGTGCACGACTGCTCGTTAGAAAGACCACGAGGAGAGGAGATCCTCTGGATTGTAGATAAAGCGATCTGCATTCAAGGCTATACTAGAACTATGGGATTTCATCTACACATTGCTTGAGGAACCATCTACCCACTGCAGCACAAAAGGCAGCAAGGGACGTCTCTCGAATGTTCAGATTTCGCTTGTAACAATGTTTGGGTTCATGCACCTGAATGGCTTGGAATGTGTGCGAATGAAGGTAATTTTCGCTCAAACGGTCGATTCACTCTCCACTTCCGACGGAGCCGCTTCTTTCCAAGACAACTTGATCGTGGTCGGTTTCTCCTCGTTCACACCATTGCTGGTGGTCGCCTCAGGAGGGGCCAGGCCTTTCTGCTCTTCCTTTGGACTTTCGCCGACATCGGGATAGATCACCAGGAAAGTGGCTGTCAGGAAACCCAGGAATGAGCCCACTGAGGCCACCAAGGGTATGACCTGGACTGTGCCCACGAGATCCACCACCCCTCCGAGAGCAGAGGCCACCAGGATCTGGGAGATGTAGACCTGGCAGGACAAGATGGCACAGTCTATGCCAAAGCCTCGCTTTGAGTTGCCGGGGCTGTGGTGAATATACTGAAAGAGAGATAGGAAATGCATTAGCCAACAACAGCAAAAGAGGGGAAATCCAGTGTGTTGTCTTGCAGTATCAGAGCCACTGTTTTATGGGTACCGCATACATCATGGAAGAGGAAGCCCATTAATGCCAAGCATCATGTTTTGCTATTGAAATACTGTGCATGTTTTCTTTCAGCAAATTAATGTGGGGGTTTGAAGATCTGCTTGCTACAGTTTAAAATGCAGACCTGTAAGGTAAGAAAGGGGGGAGCTGGATGGGTGAGTCAAGAGCGCTATGACTGGATGGTAGCTGTACTGTAGGGGGTGGAGTTGACTGGGCTGTTCAGAGAGTTTGCCTGAGAAAGGAAAGGAGAATAAAGGAGAGTCTGTGTTCTTTTTCATGTAGAAGTTACTACCCTAAGCGGCAAGGGAGAAAATCAAGTCTTTGTGGGGGGCGGGGGGGGGGGAAGAGAAAATGGGGGAGAAGACAACTTGCATCTATCTGGCAACCAAGAAGCAAGTAGTATAAAGGAAATCATCTCACTTTTGAGCCACAACAAAACCATGAAGCATTTATACTTCTTTATCTATATACTATTAGCAACATCTGGCCCCCATCTGCGGATACCTGAATCTGCAGATTAGGGCCACACGGACGCGAAACAGATTTTCCAGCAAACCTGGGGGACCTCCCAAGTTTGCAGAAACTTCTGAAAACTTTTTTTAAAAAAATCTACCGGGGGAGGGGTTTAGTGCCCTCCTAAAGTAAAATAGCATTCTCTGTGCAAGTGCAGAGAATGCAGCTGCCTCCGGAAGTTGGAGGAGCCCAGGAGCTGTGCTGGGTCCAGCAGCAGTGCAGCCCATGGGCTCCTCGGTGGGCCTGGTGGTGGCACGGCCCAGGGAGAACATGAGTAACATGGGGGCCCACACTGGGCCCAGCCAGCAGTGGCTGCCAGAGAGCTTGGGGGCCATGCCGGGTTTGGCAAGAGAGTGTGTGTGTGTGTGGGGATTCTTCCCCCGTGAGTCTCGTGGGCCCCCACTTGTCAACTATATTTCTGTTTAAGTAAAAGAAGCCGTTTTCTTTAAAGGAACTCTTTTTACCTCATGGCCACCCCCCCCCCACATGGTGACTGTTCTGTTATTCTACCAAAATCATTAACCTGTCCTGTTCTTTGGGTTCAACTAAGAGGACTAAGGCAAGAGACTTTGGTCAAAGAATTCTATGATTCTGTGTCTAAGGCGAGAGACTCTGGGGGCAGCAAAAAGTATGAGAGAACGCTATGGAATTAAGGAGGCAGCGGAATGTGAGCCGTTCCACAGCATTATAGAGAGCTGTTATGTAGCAGGGGTTACAACACAGGGGAGGGGGGGATTACACCAATCATCAAACAATTATTTCCCCTGTTTGCTTCCTTAGTATTGGAAAACTGTCTAGAGCTTAAGAAGGTACAAAGTGCACCCCGAGGAAGCGAGAGCCTCCAGTATCGGCAGAATGTGCCTGGCCTTGATGCGTGAAGGGGCAGGAGATCACCTGCTGCACTGCGCCACGTACCTGCTTGATGTCGTGATATTGTCCCAAAAGTGCGTAAGGGCAGTACGAGATGCTCATGGAGACGATGCCCATCGTGCTGATCATGATCATGGCCACGTACACGTTGGGGAAGATGGCCATCACAGCTGTGCCGATGGAGAATCCCAGCGTGCCCAAGATGTAGATCACCCTGATGCTCAGGTCGTAGTTGTCCAGGTATTTCTGTAATAAGGCTGAAAGGGGTTTTGAGGAATGTTATCGGCTGAGCTGAGGAAGCCGCCCACAGCCAAGTGAACCGAGACCACTGGACCGACTGGCCACAAATCGTGCTTTAGATGTCAGCCGTCCTTCCTGAGCTTCTTCCCTTCTCTTTGCTGATGTCCCTGCACTGCTCTCTGACATCACTATTGCACTGTGGGCCACCGTGCACCCCAAAAGACATGTGTAGCATGATGAGACAACACGGCAACCAAGACTGAAGCGCTGAAAGCCACCGGAAGGAGCGGGGCACAAGAGACAGGTGATAGGCTGGAACTGTTGCATTAGGGATTTGGTAGCTCTGAATTTAGGAATGTGCACACAGTCAAACTCAAGGTAGTTATTGCCCCCTCCTAAGGGGCAAAGCTACAGCAGGATACTTCCTCCTTGAGGGAACACAGAGCTGGCCTGGCTGCTACATGCACCGCAGTACTGGGCATTCCCAAGAGGCATCTCTCGACCCCTGCTGGGCTGTCTACTACACTTTATCACATGAGCCACTCTTGCCGATCCTGGGGTTTGGGGGGGGCTAGCCTTGTGTTTAGAAAGCTCTCCCTCTTGCCCCCCCCCAATTTTATAGTGTGCTAGCCATGCACTGCCTTTTCTGATTTAGGACACGGATTTTTGCCTGCTGACACAGAAACTCTTACCTGAACACACAGCAGCGGTAGTAGCATAGATGACCAATCCCCAACAGCCCATCTGAACACCGGCATTGTAGTCATGCAGCTCGGTAGAATTGGAAGGAGCCTGCGGGAAGACAGTGCACATAAAGTGACGTCAACTCCAGCACAGATGTGTATAAGCTGGAGTCCCCCCCCCACGGTGCCTAAATAATCTTTATGCCTCGTTACCCTGAAGACGATGTCCCCCCCCCCGTCACAGTACATCAGGCAAATGACTATTAACAAGCCTGAGCTTAATAACTGCTGCAGCAATTTATCTATTTACAGTAATGATACTTGAGTTGTGTCAAGTGGCCAAGGACGTGCTACGCATAAAAGGGGAAGGGAGTAGACCCCGTTTATGAGATCTGGGTTGCAGATGGTTGCTGTGACCTGGATAGTCCAGGTTAGCCTGATCTTGTCAGATCCTGGAAGCTGAGCAGGGTCGGCCCTGGTTAGTACGTGGATGGGAGACCACCAAGGAAGTCCATGGTTGCCACACAGAGGCAGGCAAACGGCAAACCCGCTCTGTTTATCTCTTGCCTTGAAAGCCATCCAGGGTCAGCAGACGATACCTGTGACTTCAGGGCACTTTCCACCACAAGCAGACCGGAGAAAAACGTTTTAGAAGCCTGATAGCCCAGCTTACCCTGATTTCATCAGAGCCAGGAAGCGAAGCACGGTCAACCACGGTCAGTTCTTGGGATGAGAGACCACCAAGGAAGCCTGGGCTTCCTATGCAGATGGAAGGCAATTATAAACCACCTCTGCCCATCTCTTGCCTTGGTCCCGGGGCTGCCACCAGTCAGGTGTGACTCGATGAAACACAGGTATTTAGTGAAGAGCTTTGCAGACCAGCATGGCCTTGGGGAACACATGATCCCGTTCATTACTCCTGCCAATTTCTTTTCTTTTTGGTATTTTTGCATTCCTCATCTCGTGTGTGCCCGTGCCTGGAAGTCATGGTGACCTCTGGCGACTCCTACTGGGGCACGGAGAACGTTCAGAGAAGTGCTTGAAATGGTGAGATGATGCACGCTTGAGTCCCAGTGAAATAACCTGAATACGTACACACCCCTGTGCTTCCAACAAGCAGGGCTATTTTCAGGCAGGAACGCACAGGAATGGCGTTCCGGCTGGCTCCTGAGTTGGCCACGCCCAGCAGGAACTCATTAGCATAACAGGCCACACCCCACAGCAGGAACTCATTAGGATTGGCTACATTAGGGGTGTGTGGCCTAACATGCAAAGAAGTTCCTGCTACAAAAAAAAGCTCTGGGTTTTGACCACAAACAAGGTAAACGGAATAAGAAGCAAAAGGTGAGTGTGGCTGGATGACCACACTTCTGGTAACATGGGGGTGCGGCCTAATATGCTAATGAGTGGTGCTATCAGGGGTGTGGCCTAATATGCTAATGAATTTCTGATATTGGGTGTGGCCTATTATGCTACTGAGTTCCTGCTGGGCTTTTTCTACAAAAAGAGCCCTGCCAACAAGCCAGTTTACTGGCGAGTAAAAGTGCACGCCTGCTGCCCGACTGGCACAACAGTGTCCCCCCCCCCCATCTGCCCATCTTCCTTCCGCACAGGGTTCTTGTGGGGACAAAACGGAGGAGGGAAGAACCAAGACCTCCTTGGAGGAAGGGTGGGACAAGAATCTAACGGAAGGCGCCTTCCGACATTCCCAAGGAAGACGTTGCTTCCCCAGCGGATTTCTTGCTGCTCAAACAGGACCATGAAGGCGGCTAGTAATGATGAGCAGAATGTTATAAAACGAATTGGTTGAAACCAAAATTAAAAACATGCCTTAAAAAGCAATTAAATACAGCAGGGAGGAGAGGCCATTGAGGGAATGCCAAATGAAACAAGCAAGGCCTTGGGGCAACGGAAGCAGGTCCTTGGAAGAGGGTCGTGGCAGTCAGCCGGGAAGCAGGCAATACTGTACGGTATTGCTGGTCCCAACTTTCAAAGGTCAAGACCAAGGCTCCCTCTAAGCCGTGGAGTCTTGTGAGCAAAAATTCTATTCTGTGAGCTACTGGCATTAAAGCTGTGAGCGAGCGACATGGCTACTGCACACATTAGTGTTCTCTGGATCCAAGCCATCCTTCCCGAGCCAAGACAAAAATGAGTGAGCCAGGGGCTAAAGAACTGTGAGCTAGCTCACACTGACTCAGCTTAGAGGGAACCCTGGACAAGACCAGCACCTTGACTTGGGCCCAGGAACAATTTGGGAGCCCATGTTGATGAAGAAGAAGAAAAAGAAGAGATTGCATTTATACACCGCCCATCACTACCCAAAGGAGTCTCAGAGCAGCTTACAAACTCCTTTCCCTTCCCACAACAGACACCTTGTGAGGTAGGCGGGGCTGAGAGAGCTCTGACAGAAACTGCTCTTTTTTAAGAACAGCTCTTGTCAGAACTACGGCTTCCCAAGGTCATCCAGCAGCTGCGAGTGGAGGAGTGGGGAATCAAACCCGGTACTCCCAGATTAGAGTCCTCGCACTTAACCACTACACCAAACTGGCCAAGACTACAGCGATATGGTCCCTATGACCCGTTTTTGCCACTGGCAGCCCGAGCTCTGTGCTCACCTTGGGGTCACCGTTAAAGATGACCTGCCCCATGAAGTCAGTATAGAACACAGCCTCGGCTATGATGGAAAACCAGGTGAGGAGGTGGCAGAGGCAAAGCCGCAGCAGTTCCTTGGGCATCTTCAGCATGGACAGCCACAGGAGCTGGACGGTGGTTTCCGTCTCCCCTTCTTCGCTCTCCGTGTCCCCGCTGGAGTTGGTGGCGCCACTCTGGTTCCGGTGTCGGTACCGCTGCCGCTGCCTCTTCTGCATGTCGTAGATGTCGTTCATGCTCCGGGAGGACTTGATCAAGACGATGGCGTTGGCTCGCCGGAAGCGGTAGCGGTGGGTGCCGATTTTCCCGTAGTAGGAGAAGGTGTAGGAGGGCTGGCGGTAGAACATGTGCCTTCGCCGGCGCATGGAGTTTGAAGTGCTCGACTGCTTCATGCCGATCTGAGCGTGTCCATTCAGGAGGTCTTTCGGGAGGGAACCGTTGCTGTTGGGGGCTTTGGCTTCGTTCAAGTGATTATCAAGTAACATCTCCTCTTCCTTTTCGTTTTCCCTGAGGAAAGCAGACAGGCGGTTGAATTTAGACTTCATCAGTTCCTGGCTGGTGCTGTGGGGGGTGTTCGGGTAAGAGGCGTCCTGGAAGATGGAGGGCTCGATATCGTGGAGGAAAAGCAGCTCGGATTCGATTTCCAGAGTGGCGTCGGGCATGTGCAGGACGGAATCGCTCTTGCTCCGCACGATGTCCACCTCGAGGAACTCCATGTTGAGGTCTTGTTCCGACTGGACTTCATCCGGAAACATGGAGTTCCCGTACGGGTCCTCCTCGCTGATGACGTTCAGTCGATTCAGAGGCGGGAGGCTGCCGCTCAGTTTGACGCTGGAAAGGGTGTCCGCCTCGTCGTCGATCCTGTCCTGCTGAGGGTTGTACTGCTCCTCTTCGATGCTGAAGAGGTGGAGGACAACTGAGACGGAGAAAATAATGGCAGCAAAAAAGAAGAGCACTTGCTCTTGAGACTTGAAGAGTTTTCCTAAGAAGGTCTGCGTCCAATCTAGGCCCCCCAACATGTAGCCAATGGCTCCTCCGAGACCTGGAGGAAAGGAACAACAGTGACACAAAATCACACACTTTTTTTTGCTTTGTGGAAAGGTCTGTAACAATTTAAAGGGATGAGATGGCAGACCTCCCCTTTCAGAAGCCTTATATGGCAGCCACACAAAATATGAACACACTTTTCCTCCAATCATGTACAATACACAAACTCTAAACCAGGGGTGTCAAACTCATTTGTTATGAGGGCCGGATTCTGACATAAATGAGACCTTGTCGGGCTGGGCCACGTGTGTGATAAAATGTAATCCCAGGTAGTGGAGATATAAACTTTATAAAGGACACAAACACAAAGGGCTTTTTTTAACTTAATATAAAAACATGCTTAAAACATTAGCACTCTTGCAATATTTTGTTTATTTAACAGTGTCTGATAACTGACACCTCTTGCTCTGGATTATTGCATCAAAATGTCTGTGCTGTTGCAATCTTGAGTATGCTGTTCAGGTGTGTATCTGTAAGCCGCAAACCTACGATGACGCAGCAGCAGCAGAACTGGAAGAAGAAGCAGAAAACAGCCAGTTCCACTGCGGGCCTGGCAGAAGCCCTCTGGGGGCCTGATCTGGCCCCTGGGCCGCATGTTTGACACCCCTGCTCTAAACCGTTGCTGCATGACCTCTACAAACAAAATCAGGATTCTGTGTTCAGTGCATCTGCGTGTTCCAAGAAAAAACACTAGATTCAAGTCCAGTTGCACTTTGAGAGACCAACAAGATTTTTGGGATAGAAGCTTCTGGGAGTCAAAACTCCAATTTATACTCCAAAAATCCTGCTGTCCTCTAAAATGCTACTGATCTCTAATCTAGCTCTTCTACTAAAAGCCTGTTAGCACAGGTACAGACAGGAGGGGCTACGGCTTAGCGGTAGGGCATCTGCTTGGCACGCAGAAGGTCCAAGGTTCGATCCTTGACATCACCAGGTTAACGGATGAGGTATTGGGTGATGTGAATAAGCTCTAACAGAGACCCTGGGCAGCTGCTGCCAGTCTGAGTAGACAGTACTGGCTGTGATGGACCAAGGGTCTGATCCAGTCTAAGGCAGCTTGATGTGACAATCATGGAAGGTGGCTACTGGAAGTACTTGCTTTTGGCAGGCAAGACACAATCTTAGGAATGCCATGCTGAGAATCCCAGCTGCAGCCCGGATGCTCGGTGTCCCAAATATACAAATCCCACTAGTAGAAAACACAATCAAAGATTGCCAAAATAATGATTCGCTTCTTACACTATGAACCTTGTGATCTGTTGAAATTGCTGAAATCAGGTTCCACGTACACAGCCGGCAAACTGAAGAAGTCGAAGGAAATGCATCTTCCAAGTATGGGCGTCTTCGCAAAGGCTGTTTGGGAAATGTTATGACTATGTGGACTCCTCCTGTCAAGTTACACTCACTGCATGGACTTTATGTCTTACCTTCAAAGGAGGAAATATTGCATCTTATGCCTTATTATAATTACAGTATGCACTAATGTTGTTGTGACACCAACTTTATAATTGTTTAATATATTGTTTTGGCAATCTTTGATGGTGTTTTCTGCTAGTGGAATTTGTATATTTGGAACTATCTGACACTAGTCTTTCCCCCTTGTTTGGATTTCGGATGCTCGGCGTGGCATTCTTAAGACCGTTGTTGGGTGCAGGGTTGGTTCCAGGTTTCTGGGGACGCTGGGCAAAGAGTTCCCAGGGTCCCCCCCTCTGCCCACCACTAGGCCGACTTGCACCACCACCACCACCACCACCACCACCATCATCATCAATTATATTTATAACCCGCCCTCCCTGCAAGCGGGCTCAGGGTGGCTCACATTGCCTGGCACAATGTGCCAAGATTCATATACAGTTAAACATTTAAACAATCGGCAATTGCCGAATAAAGTGCACTCAGTAATTAGCAACCAGGATGGCGTGACGTGTCATGCAGGCTCAGATGATTACACTCTCCTAGGCGGTTTGGCTCGATCTCACTGCAGCCAGCCTCCCCCACAGATATTAATAGTGGTCATTGATGGTAATGTGATGGTAATGTGGGCAGCTCCTAGTTGAAGGCCTGGTGGAAGAGCTCCGTCTTTCAGGCCCTGCGGAACTGCACAAGATCCCGCAGGGCCCTGATCTCCTCCGGGAGCTCATTCCACCAGTACGGAGTCGCCACTGAGAAGGCCCTGGCTCTAGTAGCCGCAAGCCTGGCCTCCCTGGGGCCTGGAATAACCAACCAATGTTGCGCCCCAGACCGTAGTGCTCTCTGGGGTATATACCAGGAAAGGTGGTCCCTCAGGTATGTTGGACCCTGGCCATATAGGGCTTTAAAGGTAAGTACCAGCACCTTGAAGCGAATCCAGTATGCTACTGGCAGCCAGTGCAGCGCCTTCAGCACCGGCCGGATGTGCTCCCATCTAGGGAGACACATCAGTAGCCTGGCCGCGGCGTTCTGCCCTAACTGCAGCCGCCAGATTTGTACCAAGGGCAGCCCCATGTAGAGAGCGTTACAATAGTCTAACCTCGAGGTGACCATCGCGTGGATCACTGTAGCCAGGTCATCGCGATTGAGGAAGGGAGCCAACTGCCGAACCAACCGCAGGTGGTAGAAGGCCGACTGAGCAGTGGCTGCTACCTGGGCCTCCATTGCCAGGGAGGGTTCCAGGAGCACTCCCAAACTCCTAACCACCGGTGCAGGGGCCAATGGCATCCCGTCGAAGGCCTCCCACCCTTCCTGATGCTTCCCTCCTGCCCGCGTGTCCTTCCCCCCTGCCTGCCTGCAAGACCTCCCATCGCCCACAGCCCATCGCCCACAGACCTCCCATCACCCACAGCCGCCTGCTCCTCCCGCTGCACTCTCCCTGGTTCCTCTGGGAAGCGTAGGCAACGGGGACCTTGGTGGTGGAGTGGCAGCACGTGAGTGGACGGGTCGGGGGTCAGAGGAAATGGGCCCTGGCAGGAGCCCTGGGTCCTGGCAGCTGCCCCCCCCTCCGTGTATGCTGATGCCAGCCCTACGGATGTGTGTTTCCAAGGATGGAGAGAATGACATACCAGCTGAGAAAGCGTGGATATTGAGCGCCATGTCCTGCTCTTCGCTGTCCACCACATCGAGCAAATAGGCTCGGATCGGTCCCTCCGTCGCGTCGGCGCAGAAGTCTAAGACCACCACCCCCAGCACGGTGAGGACTATGCCGATTGGCTGTTTGTTCGGTACGTCTCCAATGGCCAGACCTGGCAAAGAGAAAGGGCGTCTCGGTTACTTCCCAAAAAACGAAGGGAAACAAAGGCTGATCGGGGGCCAACATCGGCGACCAGCAATCCTCCTCGATCTGTTGAAACGTGGTCAATGGTGTCTCCCCCTGCCAGGTAAGTACTGAGAAATTGGCAAAGTCTGACTCTAAATGGCCAAATATGTGCTGGAAATGTCAAAATAAGGTTGGATCCTTTTACCATATGTAGTGGTTATGCGATAAAGCTAAAAAATACTGGGTTGGGATACACGAAATGCTTCAATATTTTTTTTTACAATGTTCTATACCTTTGATACCAGAGACATTTTTGTTAAGCGTATTACCTGAAAATTGTAAAAAAACCAGACCTTTATCTTATATTGTATATTGTTACAACTGCTAGAATATTATACGCTAAATATTGGAGATGTATACAAACACAGGTAAAATTATGGAAACAGCGGAAATGGATAAACTGACTCCAATTTTGAAAGGTCGACCGGAAACGACATTTGAAAATACCTGGTCAAGATTCTACGAGTGGTATGAAGATCAATAGAAATAAATTATGAAGTATTAAAACTTGCCGAGGACATATAAAGTATTAATCTGCTAAGATATGCAGAATTCTAACTACTATTTTAATAAGGTGAAATATATAAGCTATAACAAATAGGCAGGCGAATTTGTAACAGATGTAATTTGCGTATTGAACGAAATGCCCCCATTTGTGTTTGTATGTTTGTTTGTGTGCTAAAAATAATAATAATAATAATAAAAAAAAAATCTGTTGAAATGGCCCTTTCAACAGCGACGCCCAGCGACCTGGGTCTCGACACAGAGAGCACTTCACATTTGAGAGACCTGCAGTGATGAACAGGTGGCCAAAGTAGACTTTGGTGCCTCTACAAAAGACTACTTACCACTTCCTTTGTTCTTTTCAACACTGAAGAAAGGGAGGTGGGATTCCAAAAAGAACTACATATTAAAACACCAGCTTTGATAAAAAGAAACCTGCATTGCTGAAATTGCACCCACTGAGGAGCCAACAAAAACAGCTGAAAAAATGAAACCACTTAATTCTCGCCTTTCGGAGAGCAGCCGTTTCCCCCGACCCCCATCCTCGCAGCAGCCAGTCCCCCTGCTCCTTTTTTGTTTTTGCTTTAACTCGGCAATTGCAGATCGTTATAACCAGGTGTGTACAAAAAAAAGGTTCTCTGCAGCCACAGATTTCATCTTTAAAAAGTCTCTAGTCCCCCTTTCGTTGTGGAGATATAAGGGGAAAGGCATATCTTCACAATGGAAAGGGCGGGGACTTGCGTTTTTCAAGAACATTCAAGCTGAGGAATTCAGAGAACCTGTCACGAACATTGTAATAACATCATGTTGATACAACGATACTCGGCTGCTGGTTAAAAATTTCGAAATTCCCAGTGGCCTGGGGGAGGAGGGATGGCCACTGCTGGGTGTCTGGGGTATGGAAACTTGCCACGTGGAAGCCCCACTGCACTGTACTGGCAGCTGCAGCAGCAACAGGGAAACCGGTCCTATGTTAGCTCCCAGTCTTCAGCCAGCAATTCAAGTGTTGAATCACCAATTAATCAAGGAGATTAAACCTTGCCAGGCTACACACAGAGAGAGGAAGTGTTCCCCCCTTCATTAATCTCTGGGAACTTTTTACAGGTATTTTATTAGATGCCGCGTTATGACAAATGGAACACGTTCCAGCCCATGCTATGACAATGGCCCAAAGGGGGCGCAAATCGCTTTCTCCAGATTACAGCGTGACTGAAGCCGAATTTCCCCGAAGAAGGTGTATTTCCGGCTTCAATTGTTCCTTACGGTGCGGTTATTAGTAACAGCTTGGGAGGGAGAGAGATAAAGTCAGCTACCCTCGTGTAGCCGTCTGATAAACAATTATTCAGTCCTGCTGTGATCTTTTCTTTTCAATGCACGCATTTAAGAACAGAACAAGGAAAAAAAAGAGAGATCATTTTCCCCTTCTCTGAATAATGCTGGAAACAGGATGTGGTTGGCTAGATATGCGTTAAAGGGAAATCGGAGCACAACAGGAAATATTTCCCTGTGAACAGGTTCCTACGGTTTTCCCATGCTGAGAGACGGCTGCATTCGCCCCGGCGAATACTGTGCTGGCCGACATGGTAAAGGGAAGGTGGGCTGGCCGAAGCGGCAGACCACCATGCTAAATACGGCAGCACCTTGACTGGGTGGTGGGCTGTTCCCTCTAAGCTGTGGAGTCTTGTGAGCAAAAATTCTACTTTGTGAACTACTGGCATTACAGTTGTGAGTGAGCGATTTGGCTACTGCATAAATTAGTTTGCTCTGGAGCCATCCTTCCTGAGCTGAGACAAAAATGTGTGAGCTGGAGACTAAAAAACTGTGAGCTAGCTCACACTAACTCAGCTTAGAGGGAACACTGTACCCTCTAATTCTGCCTGTTTCTGAGTTCACCTTAGAACCAACAGAGATGAGGTGCAGAAGATCCACATCCCATTAATTACCTACGATCAGTGCTCGCTCTAAGCTGTGGAGTCTTGTGAGCAAAAATTCTACTTTGTGAACTACTGGCATTACAGTTGTGAGTGTGCAGTACCCTCTAATTCTGTCTGTTTCTGAGTTCACCTTAGAGCCAAAACAGATGAGGTGCGGGAGATCCACATCCCATTAATTACCCACGATTGGACATCTTGCCTTCATTGTCATTATTAAAGCAGCTGACGAGGCTCCAATTTTGTTGCAGCAGCTGTGTAGAGGGAAAGGGGGATTTAACCCTTCCCTGAACCCAGAACTATTTTCTTGATTTAAACCGGGGTGTTCCCCAACACTGTGCCTGTGGGGCACGATGGCCCTTGCCAGTACTCCCCTTGGTACATCTCCAATAGTTAGAACTGTCAAAGGTCCTTTCCGCACTTGGATCTCATCCCCGGATTTATCAGAGTTCAACTCGCGACACAATACCTTGCATGTATCCCTGGTTATAACAG